TTGTTTTTTGTTTGGTTTGAATCTTTCAAAAACAACTCTTTGCTACTGGATCTCTAACTGTGTGAGAGACATGGACAAAGTTTAAAAGTATCTGTCTGTCTCTTTCTCTCTATCGCTACCTACCTACCTACTGTTTGAAGGCACTTCGGGTATGTCCAAAAATGTCTCTTTTTCCAGGATCTTCCAGAACCTGTGTAGAGCAGCTACGGAATCCCAACAAAAGTTGGAGTGATTTAAGGAGATGCCAAAGTTCGTGTCTCCATGTACTCCAAATTCTACTTTTTATGCTGAAGCACTCCACATCTCTAATATCAATTGGCTGCAGTTTTTCAGCAAAAAGGAAAAGTGGGCAATCAACTGTAGCACTGAGAATGGGTTGAAGTCAGACTTCCTGGGGGCCAGGCTTCAACCAGCAGGCAAGATCAGATCCAATTAGATAGGCTCATACGAATCCAAGAACTTTTGATGGGATAAGCTGGAAAGAAAGAATTCCAGTTACTGCTGTGTTTTAAGAGCAAGCTGTACTTATCGAATCAACGTTCAAACCCTCTTTCTCTCTCCTGCCCTGGGTAATGGGCTGCTCGGATCCCTTCTCTGGGTGGGAGGTCTGCTTCCATCTGTCCCTTGCTTTTGCAATGGTCAAATCTGCTATCAAGTTATTTTTCTCTGACTGTGTGTGTGAACTAACTCTCACACCAGGGTACTTAGACCAAAAGGCCATCTTCCATGCTGGGGTGCTGTTTTCTGATTTCAGAAAAGTGCAGCCTTGTGTCTGAATTCTCGACAAGAATGCCTCCATCTGGCATCCATTTTAGGTTGTGTCAGCCATAGCTGTCAGGGTTGTTTCACATATAAAATGCCTCTTTTCTCTTTTGAACTGGAAAGCACCACAGTTGAGAGTGCTACAATATTTGTATTCTGTGCCAATCTGAGAAAAACTCAACATTTTTTAATATCATGAGAATTATTGGCAATTTCTGTGACTTCGGAATGAAAGGTGATGCTCAGAACTTTTTTTTTTCCCCCAGTATGAGAATTTATCAGTGAGCAATGCCATCCAGACTAAAATGTATCGAGCATTTTGAGAAAGTGGTAGTAACTCCTCTTCAAAAGGAGCATATAATTGCAGGAATGTCCCCTGTGGATAATGAGTGGCAATATTGGAATAATGAAATTTACAGCTTCTGGATGCAACAGGGCTTTGTCCCTGGGCTGTCAACACCAGATCTCATATGATGAGCATAAAGCAGAGAAGTGATACTTAATGAATCAGTTAAGATTTGTCTATTGTAATATCACAGTTGTGGTTTGGAGCAATGACCTTCTAAATTGTATGAGCTAAAGTGGCTTCCCTGTATTCTGATTTGTATTCCCTTACTGGAATTTGTGACATGCCTTAAAAATGTGGATAGGAGTTTTTTGTTTTTGTTTTTTTAAGTTGCTATTGTAATCAGGATGAGCTGAGTTTCACTGGAGATAGAAAACCAATATTTCTTTCATGACAGCTGACCGGAAGTGCTAATACCCTTTGAAGTCTCTTTCTCCTTTGCAGCCTTCTAGGTCATCTTGATGACGTTTCCATCCTTGTCTTCTTCTTCAGAATTGCTCAGTATTTTTCCCACTAAATCTTTGACACAATCTTCTAATCCGCAATTTTTGCATACTACAAACCTTATCGGGGCGGTGCGTACACTGGAGGCTGTGACAGTTATATAGTGGGCATGATCACAAAATGGCTGCCATGGGGGTTGTGAGATTGCTCCCTACCACTCCTATTAGCTACTCTGGATGCTTTCTATCCCTTCTACTTATGACTTTTTCTTCTTTTTTCCTGGAGAGAGAGCAAAATTATTTGCTCCAAGCAAATAATTGGGCTACAGCACCCTATCATTTTTATTTTCTAAGAATGCTACCAAATAGAGCTCAGAAACATTATTGTAAATGGAAGTTATGCATGAAAACTGTGAACTTTCCATTTATTTTTTATTTTTAAATCAAAGAATCTTCACATAGATTAGGGCAGGATCCCAGGGAGATGGGCACCGTACTGGCAATCTAGGTAATTGTGTAATTAAGCTTAAATTAGGCATATAGAGAACAGGGACAGAACACAGAACATTCTGCTCCTGGAGAGCTAGGGTTTGCACATCCATAGCTTAAATACATATACATGAGTTCATACTCTTCCTTCTGAAACTTCTCGCACTCCTCATTCTTCTCACGTGCTGTTTGGGAAGATTGTCATCATTGTCATGTAGGTGTTTTCTACTCACAAGAAATATTCATTTTACATATTTGCAAATCAACCCACTTCAGATGCCCCCAGTCCAATCCACTTCCTAGACTCCTTCACCTGCTTCTAAAGCATCTTTTTTCTCATGAAAGTGAGGTGAGCAAAAGCTGTCCTCTTCCTCTTCTCCTTTTTCTCACCCCTGTTCTTGCTATGCTAACTAATAAAAATGTTTGGCATGAAATATTATTTAGAAGCAAGCACATGGTTAAGTTTCACCAAGGTTATCTCCCAACGTCATTTTTAGTCCTTAATGCAGTTCTGCTACTGTGTCATCTGTGAGCAGATATGTATTAGTTGGGTAGCGTGCCATCAGCTGTTGTGACTTTGATTTATTTGCTCTGTAAATTGGGACTGGAGCAATAATGAAAAATGACATTAATTGTTTTAACAGAGTTCTCTTTGTCACATCCTTTGCTTTTCTCTGAGGAATGTTTGAAACTCCTCACAAAAAAACTAATTGAAATTGCTGTGATGAGTGAGAGTAGTGTCCAGTCTGCACTGTGACATTTTTAAGTGCAAACACCAAGCTTTGCAACAGGAAATGCGAAGGTTTTCTGCAAAAGTCCATATTAACAAGGAAAAAAAGCTGACTTTGAAAGAGAAATATTTTACATAGTTCTCCAGGTGACAGCATGGTTCATTTGTTTCTGACTCCTCATGACCTAGTGGACATCATTTTTTCAGTGAATACTTCTTTGAGTTCTTCTAAGCTCATCCTTGTGTCATCAGTGATAGTATCTACTTCCCTTGCATTCTACAGGCCTCTTTTTCAATTGCCTTCATTTTTTTCCAAGGATCTGGATCTTATCCAATGCCTTTTTATTATGTGTCCAAAATATATACATTTTAGATTATTTTTTAGCGCTTCCAGTGTGCAATCTGGTTTTATTTAATCTAGTATTGAATTATTTGTCCTCCTTTCAATCCAAGGTATTCTCAACAGTTTTCTCCAGCTCCCCCACACCCCCATTTTTTAAATTATTCCAGTTTTCATACCATATCTTACAACTGGGCAAACGATAGCCTTGACCGTGTGTATTTTTGCTATCAGTGTGATGTTTCTATATTTTAATATTGTCCAATTTTTAGTATTTCTTCCAAATAGCAGGCACCTCTTTGTTTCATGGCTACAATCCCATTCCTGTGAATTTTTGACCCTAAAAAAGATAAAATCTTTTACTTGTTCTCCATCTATTTGCAGTGGGTTAGCATTGCCTATTGACATAAATTCTCTGATAGGATTTGATAAATAGCTGGGTGAAATCTGAGATACTGCAGAGATGTTCCATTCTAATTGCCTGGACTATTCTTGCCTGGTCTATAAGATTGTATCTTCAAAACTAGAGCAATTAAATGGGAGAGGATTTAGCATATGTACTTGATTGTTCATAGCCCACGTTCTCCTTTTAAAAAGTAAATAATTTGACATAATTTACCTACCCTTGAGTGCTAGATTATATCTTCCAGACTTTGCTAACTGGAAATCATGGGAGATGTACTCCAGTGCATCTGTATGGCATCAGATTGAGCTAAGCTTATAGAGATGGCATCTAGGTGAAAGAATATATCAATAATCTAATTTTCATGTTCTAGATATCTGTAGTCCCTAACAAAGTCCTCTAGACTTCCCTTAAAAGTTCCTCTCATGACTTAAGGGACAATCTCTGTTTTATATTTCATAAAATCCTTGAGTTGGAAGGCCATCTGTCCTGCCTCTCTTTTTAGTGGAGATATCAGAATTAAAGCCTTCCTTAACTGGGAAACTTCCATGGAAGAGGAGCCCACAATTTCTCTTGGTAACTGGTTCCAGTGTTTTAACTTCAAGGAAAATTCTAATAATGATTGACTGGCACATTTCCTCATGCATGGTCTGCTAGAAGTTCATCAATGGCAGAGGCTCTTACCCGACAGGCAAGAGAATTAATTCAATTGTTTCCCAAACTGCTAAATGGTAAATTTAACTGAATAGGAGTTAATCCAGTTAAGATCAATCTTAACTAATCCCTACTGGGAAAATTCTTTATTTTGAGGTTTACACTGTTTTTAGATACCATCCCATTATCATCCTAGCTGGAGCTAAAGTACTTTAGCACAACATCTCCAGAGAAGATCTTGGCAGCTTCTTTCTCTTTCAACTTTCTGAGAAGTAGATTTGGCTGCCAGAAAAGTCTTTGCATGGACTCTACAGGGAGGTTTTTTTCCCCCCAAACTTAAGTCATTAATAACAAATGCAACAAATCTCTAAAATATAATATGCTTTCATTTTTCTGCATCCCCAAAATATGAATGATAATTGTGATGTATTGTGTTGAGGAATGCGAGTATATTTCTTATGTTTGATTTGACACAAACAAGACACCTAATGCAGATTAATGTTACAGCCACATCTGATCAGAAATTAATCTACTTTGTATTGTTTATAAAATTTTGATAGCGGGGGTAAGCAGAATTTATTCTGTAAGGATTTTCTCTCTGTAATGTTCATACTAACTGTCTAATGTAATGATAACTGCAACTTCAAATAGGTATGTACCAATGTGTGTGGGACCCCACTCCTTAGCATCCTGGATGAGATAGTTGCAGGTTTGCAGATTACTTGCATGGAATTAATTCAACCAAATGTTAATTTATAAGGCTATATATTCTTAGTTTCCTGGCCTGAATCATGTTTCCCTCCCCCTCCCCCCTGTATTCTCTGCATGAGTAGAAGATAGATGAAGAGAATGAAGCAAACTTGCTAGCAGTCCTCACAGAAACGTTGGAGAGTATCCCGGTGGACGAAGATGGATTGCCTTCGTTTGATGCCCTGACAGATGGAGATGTGACCAGCGAAAATGAGGCTAGTCCTTCATCAGTGCCTGACAGCACCCCTCCACCTCAGGAGGCAGAAGAGACGTCTCTAGTAAGAATCTACCTTCCTACTGTTTAATGGGAAATGGAGTTGCCTTCTGACTATACAATGCATGGCTATGATGTCATGGTATGGTTTGATTTTCTCAGTGAGGTTGACATGTAAAGGAAACCAAATCCTAATTGGGAAATGGTGAGGGGGGGAATGTCTATAGCATTGATTGGATGGTTGTTTTCCTTAGATTGTGTTCAGAAAATAAAAAGAAATGTATTCATGCATTCTTACTAGTGAGTCTCTGGTGCATGCATATGCATTTCATCTGAAATAATGTAACCCAAGTTGTTTATTTATGAAAGTTGGTTTAAGATTTTGCTTATATCCTGACGCCAATTAAAGGTAAAGTCTCTGTACATCAAGCTCAACTCTTGGTGATTACATGAGCAGATCTGTGAAATTTTCTGATCAGGGAGGGAGGGAGATTCAAACTACAAGTCTAATTTACAGCCCTTGGACCCTTGAAATCTCCCATCCAAGTACTTATCAGGACTTATCCTACCTAACATCCAGCCCAACAAGGTTAGCTAGGTATTCCAACTGCAGTTACCTGAAGAGTTATTGCAGTGTTAGTTACCTGATTAATATTGTAAGAGAATGAAAGGAAAATCATTACTTTTCTATAAATATTGACTCAGTCCTTCTGAGGATAATAACACCCCTCCAATAATTAGTAGACCTTCACCACCAAATGTTAGAAGCAAGTCTATGTGAGAAAATGGAAACTTTTTTTGAATAGCACTCTCTAAAAATACACGAATACCTGCTGCCAAAGGTTTTTGATCAATCTTCCATGTGTATTCATCTTTTATAATACACTGAGCTTGGCTAGTGGTATTTGCAGTACTTGAGGCCATTTTATGACATATGATTTGGTCTCACATTTGATGGGAATGGGGACAAGCAGATTTAGATACACAGGCAGCATTTTGATGATACTGGTGTTTTTTCTATCTTCCAAACAACTTACCTGGCCATCCAACTGACAAAGCTTTTTCACATCTAGGTTTGCAATTAACTCTACACCTCTCTGTGTAGAGCTCTGTGACAAATATATATTTTGTACAAATATATCTGTACAAAAAACAATGCACATTTCCAAGTCACACCTGGAAAACCCTTAAGGTTCTAAGATGTAATATGTATAGGAACCCTTAGCTATATATTAATCACGCAAGATAAAATGGAAAAGAAGATGATGATGATGATGATGATGATGATGATGATGATGATGATGATGGCAAGTTTTATTTTTGTGTGCCACTTCCATTTACAGTACCCAATACTGTAAATACTGAATCCAGTGCAATGGACAAGACATTATATTTATTTCAGATACTTTAAGGAGCCCTCCAGAAATGTGCCAGTGTATGTTCTACATTGTTTTGAAAAAATAATAATTGCCACATTCATTAATGTCAAATTCCCGTTGCCGCTGTGTAAAGCCCTACTAAGGAGACATAGAAACTAGTTCAAATTCTTTTCCCTCCTTTATATGTATTTCCCAAATACATACGTTATTTAAAATGAATGAGCCTTGAAGTTCATCTTCACAGCATTACATGTGAAACTAAAGTTATCCATGGAGGGTCCAAGGTAGACTAACATTCTGAAAGGAGATGGAAATTATTTGAAACCATGAACAGCATGACCAAGTATTCATTTTCATGCTAGTACATGTGTGTTCTCACCAGGCATAAAATATTTGTTCACCTTGTGGGTTGTATTGTGGATGTTATTGGCCCTGCTGGCTGAGAATTATGGGAGTTGTAGCCTGACTTCTAGGAGGACAGGTTGGAATAAATGTAGATTTTCTGCTTCATGGCTAGAAGAACAGGATTGAGTCGTTCATTTGTTTTCAAACGTTTGCTACAGCACTTCATACATGTTACAGAGTCCTTGGCAAAGGTGTGGTGAATTTCCTGTCCTACTTTCTTGCTGTGGCCTATTGACAACTAAAATAATTGCAGTATAATAGTTACAAGCATGTTGCAATGAAAAAGAGAAACCCATAATGTAGCCTTCCTAGATCAGCTTTTTGATTCAAAATCACTGGATTTCTAGATGATATTTCATGGGTTTTAGTTGGGGAAGTAAGACATAAATCATTGAACCCATTACTCTATTGTAGATCTCTTGCATGATTGGAATGAGCCTGTAGTGAATGTCCTTCAGGTGTAAGATTTGTGAGAAGTTATAGAAGAAAAAAAGTTTCTCTATCAACCCTAACTTTAGAAAACCCAATTCTGTCGCCAGACAACTTTCTTTATCTTTCAGGCATAATGGAATTGAGAAGTTCAGTATCTTATAGCTGGGACTATCAAGATAAACTTGTAAAGTACATCTCCTAAATGATTTTATCAACCACAAAGAAGATGCTTGCCAATGTCCAGATGTTTCCTTTGAAATGTAATATTGCATTATGTGTTGGCTTCAGAGTTTTCTTCTCAAAAACAGTTGGTCTTCAGTTAGGCATGAGTTCTTGAAGGTTTCATTTGGTCTCCTCTTATGGCTTCAAATCTACATACTTTAAGCTTCATAGATCTGTTTATGATAAGCAAATGTTCTCTTATGCCTGACACATTTTCTGTAGCAAGGTAGGACATGCAAACCACAAACAAAAAGTCCAAACTTCCTTTTTCCCTTTGGATATGAACGATTTAGACAAAATTATTGTAGATCACCTCAGGGACATGAATTGGAAAGTTGGTTTAAGTTCAAGAACAAATACAGGTTTTGTGGATGCCTGGAACGCACAGAGTCAGTGAATCACTGAGCCACTGGTTATCCTGCATTGCTGCTTCTTATCAGTTCAAGAGAGAAGACCATTAACTACTGAATGGTAATACAACCTTGTAGGCATGTTGGCTAAACCAAACAGTGATGTCCAACTGAAATTTTTATCTATTTTTTTTTTCCTCATTGCCTCTTTCTATCTTCTCTTCTTCATCCTTTCTCCCTGTTATTGGGCTGCTGAGCCAAGGACATCTGACTTTGCAATGATCAGTTACACTGGTCCTTGGAAATGACACAAAGGATCACATTTTGTCAACTTAAATAATTATTCTCCTTTTGAGCCATTCTGCCTGGGTTCCAACCAAATAGTGGGAAAGGGAAAATGTAAATCTCTTTGTATATGTGCATGTAGTTTAGTGCCTGTCTGCATACAATGGCAAATGCTGATGACCATGAATTTAACTTGGACACAATCTGCATTTAAAATTAAAGCAGGCTTCCCATTGCTATTATTTGTAAAATGATAAATGACTTGCAGCATACCTTAAAAAAAAAAAAAAAAAAACTTTTGGCCTAGGATAAGTGCTAATACATCACTTTCCAAGTGTGTAAAATGATTTTGTAATACTTCTATTGCTCAATTTTTTGACAATTCTATGAAGTTTTTTGCTCTTGTTTGAAAAGAACAAAGAACCCTTCTCACGTGGCCTCATTTGGAAGTGAAGGCAGAACCCTTGTGCAGCTCATAGTGGGTGAAGATGTGGAGGGAAATCTAGAATGGAAACACTTCTAGACTTATCAAAGCCAATTAAATAGTCATCCACCATTTTTGTTGTTGCAGTTGGATTCTATGTCCAACAAGGGTATAGTCTTATAGTGTTCATTAACATTAGCCTGATTTGGACAAGCTTCTATATGTAGAAATGACACAAAGAATCACATTCTTCATTACATGTTCACTATTTGTTCTGTACTCCTTCTGGACCTGCAAGACATCCAGTCCATTGCACGTCATCCTGGGAAAACTTGTTTTGAAGGGCAGCACAAGAAATAAAGATTTGATTAATCTTCTAGGACTTGCGCAAATAGGATCCTGTGGTACATTTCTGAATTCTGTAGACACTTCCCAGAATTTAAGTGATCATTTTTAGTCCAGGACATGTTGGGCTTTATCCACTTATGCTGTATGCAGGTGGGCATCCAACAACTCTGGGAGCAGATCAGGCTTGTTTAGTAGGTAGAGCTTTCTCAGCGTGCATAGCCCATATCCATGTAGATGTTTGTCCAAACTGGACTCATGAATCAAAAAGTGTGGATTAAGAAAAATTAATAAAAAACAGGAATGTGTAACCTCTTTTCTTTCTCTTCCTAACCTTCCCCTTTCCCGCCCTCCAAACGTTTCCTTCTGTTATTCTTGCAGCTTAAGAAGCTCTTGTTGGCTCCAGCTAACATCCAGCTAAATTACAATGAATGCAGTGGCCTCAGCACACACAATCATGCAAACTCCAATCACAGGATCAGAACAAACCCTGTGGTGGTCAAGGTACAGCCTTCACCTATGCAATGCCTATTAAGATAATTTCGCAAATGCTTGTCGTAGTCTCCTTAGACCAGTGTTGTCCAAACTTGGCCACTTTAAGATGAGTGGACTTCAACTCCCA